ATTATTACTGACTTAAGCATCGGAGTGTCTTCCCCGAGATCCATCTCGGGGCTTTGCAGGTCAATCCGGAGTGCAGATCTGAAGTGAAGAAGGACGTTGGGTTTGGTGCAGTTACATAAAGTATATGCTCCTTCCATTCCGAGTTAAAGAATAGTTGATGTTAACTAAAACCAAGTACCCAACAAATCAAACAAACCAGCCCTTTACTTAGCCCATCATCACACCCCATGAATCGAATTGATGCTAAAAGTTCATACAATTACTGAAAATGCCTTTTGTTATATAAACAGCAATTAATCAAACTGACACAAAGTGTATACATATGCCATGAGTTTCAGTTGAAGTCAAAGTAAAATTGAACTACTGACAATGAGATGTAGAAGTATGAGATTCAGAGAAAAAGCATAACTAACTGTGTCACAATATTGATTCACGATTTCTGTTGGGCATTTCAACAAACACTTGATCGCTATTCAAGACCAAGCTATGTCTCCTCTTCTACCCTCTCCTTCCCGTCCCTCCCAGCCCCCCCTTTTTTTTTTTAATTTATTGTTTCTGATTTTAACTTCAGTAAGTACGCAATTTATCCGTAAACGAGCTATGACAAGGCCAGCTTAGCCCACCAATTCTGCCCAATGGAACACCGCCAGTTTAGCCCAGAAATTCTGCCCAATAGGTGGAGATTTTGAAAATTTTTTACGTTAACTCTTCTTCAGATGCCGTTGAAACCCTCTATTTCTTGTCCTTTTTTTTTTTATTGAATTATTACTGTTGTTTGCTCTTATTTATACTGAATACGAAAAGAAAAATAAAAGAAAATAATTTTTTATATTATTTTTTATAACTTTATGTTTTATTTAAATAATTAATTTTTTTATTTGAAACTTTTAATATTAAGTATATTGCTCTTATTTATACTGAATACGAAAAGAAAAATAAAAAAAAATAATGTAGGAATAATTTTTTATATTATTTTTTATAACTTTATATATTATTTAAATAATTAAATTTTTTTATTCATGAATTTGTCTAACATATATCTTAAAGGCACAAGTTAAAAATATAATAAATACATTTTTAATAAATTT